TGAATAATCCTATGACTGGAGCACAAGGCTTTTGCCAAGAATCATGTCATCGGTTGAGAAATCAGCCTCCTTCCTGTATGTTCCCCTGCCAAAATCTAGGTTGTACGAGTCTGCAAGTCCTTCCACCAGGTCAAACTCAGGTTCCCATCCGAGAACGTGCTTTGCCTTTTCAATTGATGCAAAGAAATGCTGCAGTACAGGAAAATGGACAAGGTGATGATGATATTATTAAAACTAGTTCCTCAATGTAACTTGGTCTGCAGCCCTTCTTATTGAGAAGCTAATTCTATTAGGAATTTCACAACATTTGGAGGATCTACCACTCTTAGGAAAATGTAAACCTAGTAGAACTCTGAGGAATTCTCTGATGTAAACCTGGCAGCCAACTTTGCCGTTATAACTAAAATGGACAAAGAAGCTGGTTCTGTCAAGTCACCACCGTTTCATAGAAAGTGGCGGCCTGGGGTCTATTATTTTTAGGAAAAAGGTAACTTGACAGTTTCTGCTATGACTATGGCGAGAAATTTGCAATGAAAAGTCTCTACCCTTTTACCAATGCAGGTAGAAAAAATGCAATTTGGTAAATTAGAAAAACAGGCATATATGAGAATGGGTCGCCAGAAGAACTTTTCAAACAAGCTGATCTCACACGAATTGAAGTTTCTGCAGGAACATAAACTCCATCCAGTCAAATGGAGCCTTATTCTTTCAATGTCCTTTTCATGCAAAGGCTTAAATTAATTTATTTACGGTGCTTTTCTTGAAGTTATGTGAACGAAATTTCTGTCAAGACTTACCTGATCACGGAATGGAAATGCCTTCTTCTTACCAAAGTCAAACTCCTTGGGGTTGTAGTGAACAATCTCAGGCTCAGGAAATCCAGCGGCCTGGGTGGAGAACAACAAATTCAGTAAGTAGTATTCATCGGACTTCAATCCATTGTCATGTATTCTTAACAATTCAGCTAAAATATCTGGTTAGAATTACCTTGGCACATGCCTTTGCTAATCCATCAAAAGTGACGTACTTTTCTCCTGAAATGTTGAATACCTGCTTGCTGGCTTTTTCATTACCAAGAACCTGGATGAAAGCCTTGGCCAAGTCCTGGAGTTCTATGACTATGTTACATCATTCTCACTCGATATTGCAAGGGATAAAAATCATATAAATTGCTTATCAGACAGAAACTTTATAGAGCAAATATATTAGATTTTGGCTACGCACACCAGATGTAACTTGGAGAACTAGATAGATATATGAATTTTCTGAAACAGATATAAGAATCCATGTGCAATCTAATTACAAATTACGCGGTGACCAGCATGCTTGCAGTTTCACTAACCTTTACATGACCAAGTTGGGTTATTTGTACTCCAGAGTTGGGAATTGGAATAGGGCGACCAGCTTTCAGACGGTGAAAGAACCATTCTTCAACAGGATTGTAATTCAAAGGTCCATATATGTAGACTGGCCTTAAAGAAGTCCAATTAACACCCCTGGAAGCCAGTAAGTTCTCTGTGTTAAGCTTTCCCTTGTGCCTACTCTTTGGATCAACAGCATCAATCTATCACCAGGGCACCAATATGTTAGAAGATTATGGAAGAGAGAAAGAGAGAGAGAGAATTTTATGAAGGTTTTTTCCCCTCTTTATCATCACATTGCATTAAAATCAGGCATCCTGAATTGACCAGTGAAGTACAGGTCAATAGAAACATTAACTGCAATTCACAATCCTACCTCACAATGTGGTAAAAGATCAGATTTGAGGTAGACACCAGCTGAAGAGCAGTATATGTACCTGAGAATTAACAGTTCTGAATTTTATACATTATAGCTGGTAATATCTATTTCAATGGACTGGTTTTAGAGCTTACTGTTCTAGATTTGGCAGTGCATCCAGTATGGGTTCAACTTCATCTGCCTCTCGTCCTGAAAATTGTAGCAAGAAAGATTCTCTACTTGAAACAAAAAGTATGTTTTGTGATATATTGATGAACAGTTCTATCCTAGTGGAAAGAGTGGACAAATAAAATTCTACATTACCATTTATATCATAGACCACATCGAAACCTTCAGCAGAGAGACTGGATTTCACAAATTCAAAGTCCTTTCTATCTCCTTTCAAATGCAAGATCTAGCAAATCACGATTAGAAAGGAAATTAAAACACCAGGGCAGTTGAGAAGCAGACTCTCTACACACAGCATAATTTTGAAACTTTTTTAAGGCATATTAACAGTGAGTGACAATACCTTGGATTTGAAATCAGAGTACTCACTATCTGGTTCACCAGGCAATTGTTGGGCAATTGGTGCTTTACCTCTAGTAAACAAAGTAACCTGCCAAAGGTTTAGCCTTCATTAATACCTGATGCAAACCACTGTAAATAGAATAAAAAATGCCACAGGCAAAGAAAAAGAATCTCATGAAAGAATATAATACCTGATGTCCCTCTTTCACAAGGAGTCTTGACAAAAATATACCAATGAACCGGGTGCCTCCCATTACAAGAATTTTCTTGGTGCTAGATGCTGCAACCTGCAATGCTCCTTTTGGCTGCCATACCTTTCTTTTGTACTGCAACCAGGCATAGAAAACTATTAAATGTCAAGAAATAGATCTTGTTTGCGCCCTCGAAATGAAAAGAACAAGAGAGTAGTTGTTACTAAGCTATACTGCTATATAGCTCTGCCAAGATCCATTGTTCAGGCAGCAATATGTCTCCTGTATGTTCCAGGATAGCAAGTAATGACGCAGACAAAGGATGTTGTATCATACAAAACTCAAAGGTTAATCAAATCAGTCTTGTTCCTGGCAAACTTATATGAAAAAAGAGACACCAAATGTTCTAAAACAATTCCAATATGCATAGAATACAACTAACTAGCTAGGCTATAAACAGAGTGCAAGTCCTTCCAGTTTGGTTATAAGCATGTTTTTTAATCAGAAAGAGAGAAAGAGAAAGGACCTGGATTTGACAGAGTTTGGTGCCATTGAAGTCAGAGAGAGCGGAAGGGAGGAGGGAGATGGAAGGCTGCTTTGTGGGCTGCAACACCACCAGCTTCGACATGCTGCCCGCCTCTCTCTGAACCTTTCTTCCCTTGCTTTTTTTTTTTTTTTGAGAGATTGCGGTTGTAAGTTGTAACTGAAATTTGAAATATATTGGTATAATTCAGCTTTTGTTCTCTGGCCGTCTCTCATTCTGACAAACCATCAGGATAAGACAATGCCCCACCTCACTTTGGTTACATCCACAGCCTTTCATTCAGTTGGAGCATCACCGCCACGGTCCTTACGTTGCTTTGCAGGACAAAGGGACACTGACACAGCACAAAGACAAATGACCCCAACCAACGGTTTAGGTTTTGGGCTAAAGACCATTCTTGTTTCTCAACTCTGGGCAGTGCCGGAGTCCAAGCTCAAGGACCTGAGGCCGGATGGTAAACTAAACTCAAGGTCAAAGCCTATGTTCCTGCCCCATGTCCCTAAGCCCAGAATAAAAAGGAGAACCCATCTTGTCTTGAATTCCATTAAGAAGAAGCATCAATCATTTTAATGACAAATACAATGTTTTTTTTCCTTATAATTAAGTTTAAATGATAATTTTTGCAAACCTTTTGCAAGAAGAAAACTACTCATTCGTATACCATCCCTTCAATATAAATACATGAACAAATATTGAGATGCATGCCACAATTGGAATAAATGATGAATTACTATATGATAATCAAGAGAATTTTGTGAGAAACAACATTTCTTAATAATTACATTTCAAAAATAACTATCAAAATAAATTGAATTGTTTTTTAGTTATATTTAGTTATGACTTGACAAAAATATTTTTGAAACTATTTTAAATAAATTAAACTATTTATCACAATTTCTCTCCATTTGTGTTTCTGATTTTTCTCTCTCAACATCCCACTCTTTCTAATTTTTTCGATTTCTCTCTTCAACATTCGTCTACTATGCTCCCGATCTTTCTGTCGCGCTTTCAAATTTCTCTTTCCAGCACTTTGAAGACACCAAACAATAATTTTGATGTGTTTGAGTGGATTGCTATTTGGAGAATTTGATTTTTAAGTATTTTGGATAAAACTAAATAGTAGAAATGATCATAGATGTTTAAAATAGCTTTTAATTTGATCAATTCAGAATCTAAACACCAATAAATTCAAAAATTTAAAATTTATAAACCTAAGTTTTCAATAATTTTTTTTAGATTTTAATAAAAATAGGTGTTTTAGATAAAAAAATTTATGTTTTAATTTGTAAAAACATGTTAAAAACACTTTAATTGATGTCAAATTATCAAAGAAACAAAAAAAAAAAGTTGAGAGGATTTGAAATTTTAGTTTGTAAATAATAACAACAGTTTAGGCATTAACGTATAATAAAATGTTTTTAAATATGACGTGTAACAATAATTTTTTTTTTTTCAATATGGCATGTAATAACAATATTTTTTTCCATTACGTATAATAACATTTTTAAATCATAGCGTGTAATCTATTTTTGTACATAGCGTGTAATAATATTTTTTTTAACATGCCATGTAATAACTTAACCATCGTGCGTAACAACTTAACTATGATATATAACAACCTAATCATGACGTGTCACATATGTTTATACATGACATGTAACAACTTAACCATGACGTATAACATGTTTCTGTACATGGTGTGTAATATCATGACGTGTAATTTTATTAAAGGTAATTTTATCTAATTTAATTAAAAAGAGTTAAAATTATAAAAAAATTATATTTGAAAATATCTTTATCTTTACAGATTATTTTTTAAAATGCTCTTAATCTGAATTCAATTTTTCATAATAAAATAAAAATGTATTTTTATATTAAATGGAGAAAATAATAAAATAAATAAAAGTAAAGACTAGTAGATAAGCTTTTCCAGTGGGTGGTTGGTAAATAAAAGAGCAGAGTATTGAGAGGGGTGAATCGTAGTAATGCCTCAAATATTAGGGACCTCCTTACATAAATTAACCTTATTTTAGCTGGATCTACCAAGAATACCAAAACAGAAGCAAGAAAAGGTTTCCCCGTAAAAAGCCAAATCCCTCTTTAGTCTGTGGCAAGGAAAAGATTCAATTTTTGTATTGAATCCCTACAAATTCAGCAGATATTTGAAAGCCCATCAAACTCTTGCAACTTCCCAGAATGGATTTTAGTCAGGTGATTTGATCCATCTCTCTTTCTCCCTTTCTTTTTTATCTGTTTTTGATAGTTTATCAGATTTAAGGTAGATCTGAGTCTTCTGGGGCCGCTTCGATTTTTGAAGCATACCCTTTTATTTGGTTGATGATAAAGCAGAATAAACCTGACCATTTGTAAATCAATCTTGGTAAACAATTCTTGATTGTTCATAGTAGATCCCAAGATCCAACTTTGGCCTGCAAAAATTTCAACTTTCTGTTGCTTTAATAATTTGGTTGAAGAAAGATACTGAATTGGAGAGGCTTAAATGGACTTGTCACTGTTTATTGGCGTTGTATAATTGTTTGGAACATGAAGATTAGACAGAAATGGTACTAATAGCCAACGGTATATACGGGGCTTAGAGTGCTTGCTTGAGTCTTTCTGATGATTTAAATTTACTCCTTTTTGCAGCCTCCAGGTGAAAATTATGCCAACCCCAAGACGTGTTTCTTTCATGTTCTCTTCAAGGTAAATTGTTTTGTGCGTCGAACCTTCTTGATCTGGTGAATCTGATTCATATGCCCTATTCAGTGCTGATGTTTAGTATCTTGGTACTTGCAGGCTGGAGCGTTGGCCTTTTACATCCTTTCTACTCTCTTTTTCGACAACTTTGTGATAATTTTTGTGGTGACTGTTATTCTTTCTGCTCTTGATTTTTGGGTGGTTAAGAATGTTAGTGGGCGTATATTAGTTGGTTTGAGGTGGTGGAATGAAATTAACGATCTTGGTGAGAGTGTGTGGAGATTTGAATGTCTTGATCAAGAGGTGAGTGTTTCCCTTAATCAAAACCCCATATATACTCTGAGATATAACATTACCAAGGCTCTCAGTTGTTGTTGTTGTTGTCTACTTTAGTCATTGGCCCGGATGAACAAGAAGGATTCATGGCTATTTTGGTGGACCCTTTACCTTTCAGTAAGTCTATCCCTTACCTTAGTATATACTGATAAAGTTATGTCTCAAATGATCAAAGTCCGTACTTGATTATTTAATTTATCAGGCGATTGCTTGGATTGTGCTTGGAATATTCTCTCTCATAAGGTTTCAAGCCGATTATCTCCTTGTTGTTGGAGTTTGTTTGACTCTCAGCATTGCAAATATTGTTGGCTTCACCAAATGTCGCAAAGGTTTGTTTGATAATTATGATAAAATATGCTTGGTTCAATGTGATATCTAGTGTAACTTTTTGCCTTAGTCTAGCTATTTTATTCATTCTGGAATTCTTGTGTGTTACTTTTTCACTAAAATTTATAGGTATTGCCTTCACATTGAGACAAGGAAATGGGATGCTGATTAATAAGTTAATTATGACTAATCTAAGATAGTTTATGATGCCAAGACAAGTTTAAGTTAAGACAAGATGTTCCAAGTCTATGTTCATTGTTTGTGAGGCAAGATAGGTTCACGATGGTATATTTTGGATATCTAGATAGCTTGCTGTGGCGTGTACTTTGGATACTGTTTCCTTGAGCAAATTATGATGACTTTTCCTATGGATAATATGATGATCTCAATTTTTTAAAAGATTATTAAGATTATAGGTGTTGAGTTCAAAGCCTGCACCATGAGGCCCACTGTGGGTAAAATATTGGGAAAATTGGGATTTAGGATGCAGCAGAATTTGCTATGTTTCCATCCCTAATTAAGTTGTTTCCTTTCTGCCTGTTTTTAAGCTTCCTTTTCACCCTGTAAATTAACAATAAGATATTGTTTGGTCCTCCTTTCAGATGCCAAGAAGCAGATTCAACAGTTTGCCTCCCAGACCATCGCTTCGAGAGTTTCCTCCACTATACAATCAGCATTTAGCGTTGTCTGAAAAATTTGATAGGAAAATACGAGAATGACATGGAAGAAATGCACTTGTAGAGCAGATGTTGAGAAGTCTGGCACATACAAAACGACTAGTATTTGAATTGCCCATTTTTGTGAACTGGGGTTACAAATCAGATGTATTTTATGGTACCTATAATGCTTTGTATAATGAATCACTCAGAGAAGAAGTCTGTTGCAAACAATCATCTTTCACTTACTAAGTGCATTTTTACCGGTCTGTATTCATGACTTACATTCTTCACTGAGATGTTTTGTTATTGATTTCAATTCTTTCAACTTCTCCTCCCTTGGTATCAAAGAGGCCAACAACATTTTCCGTTCTCTCTCTCTCTCTCTCTCTCTCTGATCATAGAGTAAATTAAATGGTTGAATGCTGCTAATGGAACAAATCTATCCAGGTGAACTATGAGCAAATGGATTAACTCAAATTGTCACTTGTTCAAACATGAACTTGATAAAGACTGTGAGAGACTATGTTCTATTCCTGGTAGCCCTTTCGAAGAAGATAAACTAGACACCAGCTGCTCCATTCCATAACTGAGAAGGAAACAGACCAAAGTATGGACTTATATTTACATCATTATATAAAATTCGTACAGAATGTTTTTCAGTTTTTCTCTTCAGCAGAAAAACGAAAAAAGGCAGATCTCTTCTCTTAAAAGAGAAAAAAAAAAAAACTATCCTTTACTTAAGAAAAGAAATGGCTTTTCAAACAGTAAAAAATAATCCCAAAGGAAAAACTGAAAGGAATCTGATAAAAACTGCACTGTAATAATAACAAGTAGTTATAAAACTTGCTTCCTGTCATGCCCGGATTCAGCTGGGGATAATACAGAATTGCTCACTTGTTGGAAACAAAGAGAGACAGAGGGCAGAGACATCCAGATATGTTGCAGTGTATATTTCTCCTATCGGATTCTGGGTACGTAAGAGCTTTTCAATTCAAAGCTTCTTCCTTTCAACTTCCTTCGATCTTTCAACTTCAGTTGCATTTGGGTTGCAATTAAATGAGATTGAATATAGAATTTGCCATGGATCTTTGTGTATGGCAGAGAGGTGATGCTAGAGAAACAGCTAACAGGGCATCGCGTTGACAGATCAATATGTGATTGGTTTTGGGATCATGCTATTTCTCAAGGTGACGCCTTCAAGGTATCCTATTTGCTATTTCTCTTTAATTTTCCCTATTACCTACAAATTTTTTTACTTTTTCAATTCCTGGGTCTTCTTTGTTTTCCAGTTTTATGGCCAATTCAGCTTCCTATGCTTGTTTATTTACAATCTTCTTTTTTTTATGCAAGTTTGATCTCTGGGTTTATTTTAGTTTCCAATTTCTAGCTACGTTCAATACCCTCTACTCTTCTCTATATTTCTTTTGTAAATCATTCCAGTTGGTTTAGTTGTTTTCCGTTTTTTGGATTTTCTTCTCACATTCTTACACTTAGATTGCTATTTGTTTATTAGTCACAGCCAGTGATTGCTTCACCAACTCACTATCTTTTCCAAGTTGTTCGAGAGGGGATTACCTTTTTAGCTTGCACCCAAGTTGAAATGCCACCTTTGATGGGCATTGAGGTAAATATGTTAGAGTTATAAACCTTTGTTGTGTTTGTGTATGCATTGAACAAATTGAAGTTCTTGACATTTAACCACTTGAATTCTAGTTCCTCTGCCGAGTAGCGGATGTCCTCTCAGATTATCTTGGTGGGCTGAATGAAGATGTGATAAAAGATAACTTTGTAATTGTTTATGAGGTATTTGTAACTATCTGCTATGTGCTTTTTGGAATTTTGCGGAAGGCAATCGAAGTGGCTTGTTCTTTCAAGTGGATGCATTGCTAAGATGAATTTATGTGAACTTTAATTGTAGCATTCACCTGTGTCTAGGAAAATTATTGTTTAATGCACAGCAAAGTAGTCTGTTTCTTCTATGTGC